GTAGCGGGCTACTGTAGTGCAGGTCGGCCTGCACTGTAATACTGTCAGCTATGTCGAGGCTGACAGTACACGTATTACCCGTGGTGCGTGTGCGCTTCGTTCGCGCGTGCTACACGTGTGCACGTTTATGCGCGTGTCCGTTGTCCCCGTGGTGTACACGTGGACATGCGCGGTTGTACTGTAGAGCGTCGAGCTCTACAGTAGGGGATCCTGTTGTTGATCCAATCTAACTAAAAAGCCCCCAGGGGGGGGGGTTATACTACAATCTCCAGAAATCGCAGCAGGACTTCAAATCATTTCCAGAAGCTCGTCATGCAACAGATGTAACGTTTCAGCAAGCATTCAGACCCAGAGGTAGTATTGAAGAAGGGAAGAGGTATTTCAGCGAAAAGCACAAGCTTAACGGATATAAGTTGGAGTTTCTGTCATGCCGAATGGTCTCGCCCTGGGGATGACTGCACACTACACGGGTTCTGTGTCTGAATTTAAAATATTGCAACGAAACCGTGACTGCTGTAGTACAATGACCGGGGCGCGCGGAGGTTATTAACCAGGCGGCTGTGCGCGGTCCACACGTGGCCGGGGTGCCCACGTGTAGGGAGCGCGCGGGTGTGCTGATAGGTCGTAGCTTAGCGTACGCGTACAGTAGCACACCTGTCGTCCGTGCGGTAGTCAACGGGTAATACGCGTGTGCAGTAGCACATGAGTGGTCCGTGCGGAAGTTAGTAGCTATTACGCGTGTACGGCAGCCCACACGTGTAGTGGCAGCATCTGCGCGTTTGTTAGTAATTCTGGAGCTAGTATTTGAATTGTGTACAGTACCCGGAACGGACTAGGCCGCAGGTACTGTATTGGGATAGGTGTCCGACGTGTCCCTCTGCGGGGTTAAGACCTGACACCCGTCCCCAACAGTAAACTGGGGCAAGCTCATCCCCGTCCCTTTCACGCCTATACACGACCGTTCCGTAAGTTTATCGCGCGCTGGCTTTTAACCCATGCCCGGTCGCGTCCGTATACGCACCAGGGAGCGACTGCGGGTAACCGACCAGTGAGCCACTCCCTTTTCACGAGATTGTCCGTACTGGTTTAATTTGCACGCCGCCCGTCCACGTCGCGTGCTCCCTCGGCGAAGCCTCCGCCTCTCATCAAATACAGGGACGAGAGGAGTTGTCCCACAACTGGCATTTAACATAGTTAGCGAAAAATGAACCAAAGAGAGAGTTGGAAGATTTAAGGAAGCTGAGTGTGGAGTATCCGCAAATCTGAGCAGCTTTTATGGACAAAGAGTACCAAAGGATGCACGAAATATTGAGGGGAGTGACGCCTCTGAAAAAGCCGATGGAAGGAACATTGCCTCCCAGTGAAGAAAGATTCAGCTGCAAGCTGGCAGGCGCCCGAATCATTGTGGATGTTTTGGGGGGCTTTGTGGGCCGTGGACTCTTCTGCTCCGAACATGGATATGAGGAGAGTCAATATACGATGACTACTTTCGCATGTGCGTTGTACTGACTAATTGCCACATCAAATGGCAGCCTCTGCGCGCGAAGGACCAAAAGCGGTTTACTCGCATTCGCAATCGCACGCATCAGATTGCCGAAGCCACTATTAAGAAAAGGCGCAGGGTGTTGCAGACGTACAGGGAAATGCACAGGCAACGTGGGAACCATCGCTTCCGATTCAGGCAATTCGATTCCGGGCTGCCTGAATTTGAATAAAAAGGTCCTCAACTACGGGGCAACTGAGCTATTATTCAGATTGTATGAGGCTCTACGGTAGTCAAGCAATTCATTTGCTTATTTTGTTTTCACCCATTACTTCAGCGGTGGTTCGGCCTCCGCATAGCTGGAGTAGTTTTTCAGAGGTGACCGGCCGTTCTAGAGATGACCGCCGTATCTCGCATTTACCGGCCATGTCGGCCGTTGATCTACTGCATATTGTACTCTACTGTACATGAGTGGGTGCATTCCGAAATAGCCGGAAAACCAAATTACCAAACATCAACCAATGAAATTGCGATACATTTGTAGGATTTTCTCCAGATGCGAAGATCTGTAGAGGGGTCTCTGACCCCTGTTCAGCGGGTCCCTGACCCTAGCACAGTTCGGAAGTTGCCTCGCCAAATTTATTGCCACTCTGCGCACCACCCACCATCTGTAGTATAACCCCCCTGGGAGCTTTTCAGTTAGATTAGATCAACAACGGATCTAGTGCTGTAGAGCCCGATGCTCTACAGTACCACTGCGCGTGGCCACGTGTACCCCTCAGGTACAGGGCACACGCGTGCACACATGTACACGTGTATCGCGCGGGACGGAAGCGCGCGCACACACGTGCACTGTCAGCCCCGATGGCTGACAGTATTACAGTACGATCCGAACTGTACTACAGTAGTCCACTACAGTACTTCGGTACTGAAGAGTTGTACATTGTTTTGTATATTAAATATGGAGCGGACCGGCCGCGGTGGAGGAGGACAAGCACGGACTTGTCACCCACCGACCGTCAAGGTCCGACTTCCCGCTAATTCTAAGGTAGCGCTCGCTAACTACCTTAGAGTGGCACCGAGCGCGGGTTGAGGACGCGCGCAGTACGCCCAGGAGCCGGCTTCGCCTCCGCCCGTCGGTACTGGATCGTTACCCAGTACCGCACCGGGGCGTCGAGGCGTCGAACCGCTCGCGCGTACCGGCGTCCTCCCCGTTCCCGCTCTACCACGCTACCCGGGCCCGCTGCCCGGTGCCGTTAGCTGGTGTCCCGCTTCACCTCCGTCTTCCCGATCGGGCGGGGTCTCGGTCGAACTGTGCATACACCGCTATCGCTGGGGTGTTTATGCTACACCATCTAGATGGTGGGTGGTGCGCAGTGTGGCAATAAAATAGGAATCACAGCTGTGATTCCTATTTTCTTGCGAATTCCTTATTCATAGTGCTCCCGACAATTCGCCAGGACAACTGGCGAACTGGAGTTGGAACGTTTTTCATTTCCGGGGTGCCGCCACATTTGGTGATTTGGGAAAATCACAGTTTCGGGATGCATCTAGTTGCCGGCAATCGCCGGAGTGACGCAGGGGACCATTTTGACACTGTGATTGCGCACAAACACTCAAATAAGGCATAGATTTATTTATAGAGTGTGCGAAACGCAAATAAATACAGCCATTGTCGAAAGGGTTTTCCAGCAACACAGGCCGAAAACATAAAAAAGCACACTGTATGATATCGCAAAACACACGGCAGGACCGATTCCGGGCTCGGATTGGCTCTACCATAAACGCATGCCTGCAATCTTTAAAAACCTTTGCGAAACGCAAATAAATACGCGAAACGCCATACAGTACAGTACCAAAAAAGTCTTTATTTTAGTACTTTGTCTCACGCCCTTGTCTATCCAGCACTGCAAGCATACGGTGAGGTGTGCTATGATAAAGGCTCTGTAGGAGTTGTCCACTAATTGTCGTCCATACCTCCTCAATGACCTCCTTAAGTTAGTCTACAGTATCGAACTGCCTTTGACGAAGATAAACGCGGCGCGACATGATGCCCCAAATGTTCTCTATTATATTGAGACCAGGCAACACTTCGCCGGCCCATCTATAGTCTTCACACCCTTCTGAGTTAGCCATGAGCGCATATATGTAGACCTATGGATAGAGGCACCATCTTGCTGGTAAACCCAAGTGGCCATTTCGCCATACATCTCGTCTGCGAAGGGAAGTAAAGCTTGGTTGAGGGTTGCACAGTACTTTCGAGAGTCTTGATTTCCGTTTAAAAAGACCAATGGGGACACTCCGTACTGGGAAATACCCCCCAAACCATGACTGATGCTCCTGCATTTTGTCTTTTTGAAAAAAACCTTTCATCTTTCCGTTGATAATGCCAATAGAATGCGTTGCCGTCAGGGCCGTCGACGTTGAACTTCTTTTCGTCACTAAAGAGTACGTTGTTCTAAAACTGATCTCCTTTGCCAATAAAGCGACATACCCATTTCACTCTATTTTCGCGGTGTAGAGCAGTCATCATGGGTGCACTTGTCATTTTTGTATACTTCAGGTGTGGAGTTGCGCTTAAAATTTGTTGAATTCTGCGCACTCCTACCGGTAGTCCGAAGTCCTTCTTTAGATTTTGAGCTGAAAAGTTTCCTGTGGATGCCTTTCGGATCATGGCCTTCCCTTGGCGGACGGTGAGCTTTTGACAAGTTACATGCACACGAGCACGAGAGGTACGACTCAGATTCTTTAAAAAGCGCTGTATGGCTCCTACGGATCTTCCCAACTCCTTAGATATATCCCGTAAGGACATTAGTTGATGGTGCAAGGCCAGGATCTGGCCCTTTTTGATGTCGCTGAGTGGCGGTCCCCTTGGCATTTTGAATGCTAACTGCTCGCTCGCGGTGACGTAGAACGATTCTCATGCCGAGGGCTATAGAACTGTGTCCTTTATGGTTTTCAAAAGAAGAGTACACGCCAATTGCCCGCACTTTTTGGTACTGTACTCTATGGCGTTTCGCGTATTTATTTGCGTTTCGCAAAGGGTTTTAAAGATTGCGGTCCATGTTTTTATGGTAGAGCCAATCCGAGCCCGGAATCGGTCCTGCCGTGTGTTTTGCGATATCACACAGTGTGATTTTTTATGTTTTCGGCCTGTGTTGCTGGAAACCCCTTTCGACGATGGGTGTATTTATTTGCGTTTCGCACACTGTAGGCGTACGATAGGACATAGAGTTGGTAAATATACCGGCGCCGGCGGCCCCCCGGTCAGGGGGACCCCGGCATCCGGATCTCTTGGTTCACAGACACATGCCGGGGATGAGTTGTACACGTGGACATCTTGGACATCGATGAAGGCCAGGTTTTCCACGTGGAATCGTTGGCGGTCGTGTGCGAAAATGTGGCGAAAACCAAGCCGGCCAATCATCTTGTGATGTGAAATGATTCCACCGCAATGGCATGAGCTACTGGCCCAGATCATACTACGTTTTCGCAATCCCATGAACCTGAACAGTTTATGTGGGGAAAACTAGAGTCAAAGTTGGATCGGCAGCGCCACTCTCGTGCATGTGAAGAAGAAGGCCACAACCTCTCAAGCCATCGTCACTTATTGAAGGACGCAATTCGAGTCTTGCAGCGTATCTTCCATTTTTCCCCTCCGTGTCACCGTTTCTGTGTTTGTATGTTGAGAGGAGTTACTTCTTGCACAGCTGCGCTTGTTCACGACCGCTTCTTGGTGATCAGTGAGATTCAACCATTTCCTGTGAAACTCAGGTGACGATGGAATCTATAGGAACGATGGACGTCTTTGCTCGATTGGGAGAGGCACGAGATGCATTTCTGTCAATGAACAGTGGGGCTCCAGCGAGATATGTCGGCGAGCTATTGACTGGGGTACACCCTCGACATTTGTTGATGGAGCCCATCCTCGTTCCTTTCGGAGTAACATTATACCTCGGTCTCAAACCACACTTTACTCTTGCTTGCCGAAAGCTAGGAACAAATGGAAAGTCCAAGCTCTTCAAGCTCTTCGTTCTAATTCACAACTTGCTTCTCTGCGCGTACTCAACGTGGACCGCATCGAACGTGGTCCTCATGACTATTTCTCACCTTCGCAATGAGGGCGTCGAATCTGTATACTGTAAAAAGAACCTGTGGCACTCCGGTTTGCATTACTGGGGCTTTCTGTTCTACCTGAGCAAGTATTGGGAACTGGTTGACACCCTCTTGCTCATCGTCAAGGGGCGTTCGCCGAGCTATCTGCAAGTTTACCATCACGCAGTGACGATCATCTGCGCCTATGCATTGCAGGTGAGCCATGCGTCGGTAACGTTTATCTTTGTTGGGCTCAATTCTACTGTGCATTCAATCATGTATGCGTATTATGCACTTACTGTCATAGGTGTCAGACTCAAGGGGAAGAGCTTGATCACTTCTATGCAAATTGTGCAGTTTTTGTCTGGGATTGCGTTGGCGTGCCCAATGTTCTTCTTGAAGAATGGCAAGTGCGCGAATCCGGCCCAGAAACTTGCTGTCGGGGTGTTGATATTGCACGCATTCTATTTGACGAAGCTCTTTGTTGACTTTTACTGCGAGACATATCGACGCAAGGCCAAGGCCGCCTAAGCGCAACGTATTAGACATTCAAGTGAGAGGACGTGGTCATGAGAGGTACCGCATTGCCTGGCTCACAAAGGGGCGGCACAAGAAGCGAGGTTTGAAGGGCTCTGTTGAAAGAGATAGAGAATGCTAACGAGGTACAATCAGGTCAGTAAATGATGACGAGTTTTGTTGTGATTAGTACCAAGGGTACTGTAGAGATGCTGCAAGAGGCTGCGAGCAAATCCTCTTTGGTACTAGTGCAAAGGCCGATTGGTGATCAGCTACCAAGACTATTGGATTTCCTTTCACATCCGCGACATTTCTCCCTGACGTCATGTCTTCCATGAACAATGGTTGTGCCTGAAAGGAGGGGCTCCTGCTCATTCACAGTCCCATTGCATGGGGCCAGGCAATGTTGACATCACACGTCGAGTCATGGTTGCGGTCACCACACCGATATCCTACTACAGAGAGAAATGACATGCCATGCTGGCGTCAGCAGAGCCCAAATGGATTGCCTGGGACAGGTTGTGGAGGCGAGGCCAATATCTGAAATTGATCGAAAAGTATATGAAATTCACGGTTTTCACAAGAGATCAACCATTCCCAGAGATTCTTTCTCCACTTTTTTGCATACTGTACAACGAACTTCAGAGCGATGCAACAATCCGCTGCATTACTACAAAATCAAGGCATCGTTTCTGCTGTGCCTTCTGCCCAAGCTCTCTAACCAACTCCCGGCTACCACTTTATAGCTGAACGCTTTTCTAATCATCCCGAGCATTCGTACCTGCATAACGCCTTCGCCTTGAAGAGAGATAGTTGGTAAAATTTCTTGAAGCATGGTGAGTGTCGTGGAAACCGATGTCGCGGCTGCGCTTGACGCACTGAAGAATGCTGCCTCCGCCGCAGACGACATGCATCTGCGCGATCTTCTCATGGACGAGGACCGATGCGCTGCAATGGTTGCTTCCCATACTGGCTTTCTTCTTGATTACTCGCGCCAGCGCCTCACAAAAGACTCGATGAGTCTTCTCTTTGACCTTGCTCGTCGAGTGGGCTTATCCGATAAAATCGCAGCCATGTTCAATGGCGACAAGATCAACACAACAGAAGGGCGTTCCGTCCTTCACGTTGCTCTTCGTGCACCGAAAACTGCGTCGATTACGACTGACGGCACTGATGTTGTTCCTGCAGTGCATGAGGTGTTGGACAAGATCAAGGGCTTCACCGATAAGGTTCGTTCTGGAGCGTGGGTTGGTGCGACTGGCAAAACTCTGACTGATGTTGTCGCCATCGGCATCGGTGGTAGCTATCTCGGGCCGGAATTCGTGTTTGAAGCACTTCGCATGGATCCCAAGGCATCTGCAGCAGCCAGCGGGAGGCGACTCAGGTTTCTGGCAAATGTCGACCCTGTCGATGTCGCCCGCGCGCGGGAGGGTCTCAACCCAGAGACCACTCTGGTTCTCGTCATTTCGAAAACCTTTACCACAGCGGAGACGATGCTCAATGCTCGCACGATGCGTGCTTGGATCGTTAAAGCACTCGGCTCGGATGCAGTTGCAAAGCACATGGTCGCAGTCAGCACAAATTTGAAGGGGGTGGAAGCGTTTGGTATCAATCCGGAAAATGCCTTCGGGTTTTGGGATTGGGTTGGGGGTCGCTACTCAGTAAGCTCCGCTGTTGGCGTGGTCCCGCTGGCTTTGCAATATGGTTTCGATGTTGTGTCTAATTTCCTCGCTGGGGCACATGACATGGACGAACATTTCAAGACAGCACCAGCAGAGCAGAATCTTCCGGTAATCATGGGACTTATCGGTGTGTGGAATTCCACGTTTTTGGGGTATTCTACTCGGGCGTTATTGCCCTACCAGCAAGCACTACTTAAGCTTGCACCGCACATCCAACAAGTGGATATGGAGAGCAATGGCAAGCGTGTGCGTTTGGATGGTTCGGAATTGAACATGGAGGCGGGCCCGATAAACTTTGGAGAGCCGGGAACGAACGGGCAGCACTCGTTTTACCAGCTGATCCACCAGGGCCGCGTCGTGCCATGTGACTTTGTTGCCGTGATTAAGAGTCAGGTGCCAGTGTCTCTTCCTGGGGAGCCCGTGAGTAACCACGATGAGCTGATGTCGAATTTCTTCGCGCAGCCAGATGCGCTCGCATTCGGGAAGTCGGCCGAGCAGTGCCGCGTTGAAGGAATCAGAGAGGAGCTAGTGCCACACAAGACGTTCCCGGGTAATCGTCCCAGTTCTTCCATGCTGATCGACGAATTGAATGCCTTTACGGTGGGCCAATTGCTTGCCTTATTTGAGCATCGGACGGTTGTGGAAGGGTTCATCTGGGGGATTAATTCGTTTGATCAATGGGGCGTGGAGCTTGGAAAAGTGCTCGCCAAGGACGTGCGGACGCAACTCACGGCTTCACGCTCGGATGGCGCAGACGTTAGTGGGTTCAACCCGTCGACTACGATGCTTCTGAAGAAGTACTTATCTGGATAGAGTTGTGGAGACGACGTTATTCGAATGCACGAAGATGTAGTAAACGGCGTGATTGATTAGGGAATCGATTGATGTGTTCCGAATTGTTAGTTAATCTTCTGATGTCGAACCACAGTACCATTTGCTCTGCCAGCATTTTCACAAGCCCACAAGACCCTAAAGGTGAGAAGGGCGGGGGCGTTTTGCTCAAATTCATGGCGATGGCACGCTGTACTCGAACATTGAGTATATATGTAGGCCGCTTTGAAGCCAGGCGGAGACTGTGGCACCGCTTGAGCACTGCGCTCTGCAGCGACGGTGTGATGTAGTGGAGTAATTCCGCCGACAGATACCAAGGGTACTGTATCCCTGTGCTCAAAATCTGGGAGAACTTTTGACTTGCAAAAATAGAAAATCTTTCCCCTGTCATTTTGTTTCAAACCAATATCGGTTTGGAGCTGCGCGCTCGAATACCCCAGTGGATATGCAGCTACAAACGAAGCGCCTGGTATTGCAGACGGGGAGGGATGAAGTTATGGTCACCTAAACTTTTTTTGGGAGAAAAAGTGGGAGAAACTCTCCCAACGACCGTGGGAGAGTTCTCCCAGTTCTGGGAGAACTCTCCCAATTCTGGGAGAACTCTCCCAATTCTAGGAGAACTCTCCCAATTCTAGGATCCTTCTCCTAGGTTTGCAAGATATGTACAATGAAATGCGCATTGTCCGTCACCCCTTTCGTGCTCTAACCGTTACAATTCTGATGCTCATTTATTCACGTAGACATTCTTGCTTTCTCCTTGAGCTTAGCCAACTCCGCAGGACTAATTTTGGCTTTCGGGAGCTTCCTTTCCGTATGCCATATATCCCAACACGAGCGGCAGATTGGCTGCGAGCACAACACGCACTACTGTCGCATCTTAGATCCACCTTTCTTTTGGAAACGCTTCTGCCTGTAAATTATAGTATGAGTAAACGAACACAAACTACAATACGCAGCCTTCCCTTTGATTGCCTGATGCTCTTAAGAACCGTTTAGACGCCTTACTGAATCTTCCCTTCTATTGTACTTTTCTACAACATCCGTTGTGTACATGTGCTTCATGTTGGCATGCGTTCCAGCCTGAAAATTTCCCTGGTTCCCTGTTGAGTATCTATTTCTGTTAGAGACCATTTGGCAGAGGGTCGTGTTGGAGTCTCGCCTCTCCGACTCCATGTTAACATATTCCCGTGCGAGACACCTCGCAAATGACCCAAATGTTGCACAAGATGTTACACGATGACGTGTGTTCTTATATCCTTCTTTCGTAGTAGCATGCTCTTCTGAAGCCAATAAATACCCTTTTGTGCGTGCGATAGCTATGCGATGAACAATTGCAGCGTTACAAACCTGCCCACAAATCAGTCTCCCAATTATACTAACGATCGGGTTCTCGCTCGAGTTAGTGTAGGCCAAGCTTTTCAGTGCCCGACTGAATTCATCTACACCCCCCTTCAAGGCGTTCCAATAGACCAATAATGTAGGACGTATCATTCTACTGGGCGGTAACGGCCCGTTAGCATCTACGAGCCTTTTATAGGCCCTACACAAATTATAATGCGAGGCCAATGAATACAGATCAGAGGTGTGGCTTCCACTTAGTAAAAGGTCGTATTCAGAAGGTATGTGAGAGGCATGTTTGCCCACCCAGTCACAGGCACTTAATCGCACCGCATCCATCCAAAAGGAATAAGAGGAAGTCGCCACATCTGCAAACTCTATGAGGGCTGCATATAGTATTTCCACAACTCCATTGTGGCTGCCTTTTGCAACAATATATAAAACCCTCCTCAGTGACGTTACTAAACAATGGTGAATACATTGAAACCTGTACCCCGTGGTATCCACTAATTCCTTGAAATGAGCTGCAGCAGATTCAGAGTTCCCTACATCTTCTATAGAAACAAATGGGCTGTAGGCGTCCCTCCTCCTTTTCGCCTTCTCAATTGTATTGGGAGATGCCATAGTTTTCACTTCTATGGCAGCACAAACAGCATTCCCATCATCATCTGTTAGCCCTATCAGCCCATCAGGGCTATCTGCGAGCATTGGGTTGGATTTTGACGCAACAAGGCCAACACTTCGGACGTAGTCCGCTCTATATTGGGTACCGAATAAAGGAAGCAGTTTCTGATGCGCAACTGAAGCATCGAAAACACAGTGTTTTTCAATAAAAGCTGGTATGGCCCTTAGAACCTGTATTTCATTGACCGTGCCCTCCTTCATACCAGCCGTTGATACTAATGGCTTCATCGCCCAGGAGTCGAGTGAGGTCTTATAAAGGTTTGTGCGGAGAATAGCAGCATTTCCTCTATATATATCTTCTTGATTAGAAGATGGACCTTGCGTTGCTGGGACACCAATTCCATTTCGGAACTGTGCCTGGTACCTTTTCACAGCATCAATGAGTTGTGGCTTTCTCATCGTTCTCTTTTCCCTTTTGCCAACAGTTAATAAAAGTGAAATTATATTGTCTTTGCGGAGATTTTGTACTGCAGTCGAAGACATAGCAAGGAAGGCGTTAAGATCTTCTGAAGTTACCACAACACTATCGTTCTGTTTCCGGATCCCAGTTATTCTCTGGATTCTGTCCCACTTATCGTCAAGCTGCTCCTTCACTTCGCAAGGTTCAAGGCTGAGCGGCTGCGTCATTGGAGTGAGGCGTTTGCCGCCTAAAATGTGGCTCATTCCTGAGAGACTAACATTGTAGTCACGAGATATAGCAGCAAAAAAGTTGCTGCCAGTGCGAGATGTGAACTTGAATGCTCTTGCCAAAAACCACGCAGGATCTTCCGACTGCATCACCGTCAAATGCCGTAGATTGGAAAGTGTTTGAACGACTTTCAGTACTGTAGCACTGTACTGGAGCCCTCTTTCACGTAAATTGTAGCTATCTGCCATGTGCTCGTCGCTTCGACGGTCGTAGATGACCTGTATCTGTTCGACTTGTTCAGATGTAAAGGAAGTCCTGTAACCTTCCTTCGATACCATACAAAATTTATGGGCACCGAAGCGGCTTACATCATTGCTATATACAGCGGCGATGCGACCTGAGTAACTTTCCCGATAAACCGAGGCCTCCACACTTCGACCTTGACTTTCACGTGGCTTTTTTATTGCACTGTACACAGCTCGGCATCCCCGCTCCGACACAGCCATACCGTTGTGTTTTTGTGAAATCGGCCCGTCTCCGAAAACGAAAGGGAAGTTCAACGACCTCTTGTGGGTCCCTAACCCAGTAGCACAGAGCACTTCGTTGATAAATCTAATTGTTTCAACTTGATTGTATCCCCGGTCTGCTGCGAACAATGCATCTACCATCGGCCTGATTGACCCAGCTGTGGGTACACCTTGTAACAACTGCACCAGCCTGTGCCAAACATCAATGACTTTTTCATTAGGGCGTGAGTAGTGACTGGCTATAAAAGTATGCGTTAAAGCTGAGCATACAGCATTATTCACCGGTCCCAGAGCTTTCTTCGGGTTGTTTATCTGTGCTAGGTTGGTGAGATGCAAGACCGACCTAGAGCTTAGACGGTTATGGTCATCGTCCAATGAGTATATAGTTACACCCTCCACGTTGACAAGCACCCTGTTAATAGCGGCTAGTTCGGCTTCCATTTCCGTTATGAGAAAATTGCCTACAGTAGGCTTGTTGAACCAACCGAAGGCGTTAGCATCAACACGCTGCCGGTTTTCTTTAGTGCAAGACAACGCACTCCATACCTCTTTGTACCTCTGCCCTGTAATGCCCATTTGGTAAAAGAAAGCTTCATTTTCCGGTGCAGTGATGGTAGCTGCACAGCTGTTGTACGAAGCCGCCAATACGTGTAAGATGATGACCCCTTTCAGCTCAAATGTTTCAACTCGTCTTTTTTTCTTCCAGTTAAGCACTTCATTGATATGCGCACGTAGCTTTTCGAGGATGGATAGCGGAATGAAGCAATCGAATACATCAATACGGCGGAGGTTGCTCGCATCCACAGCTTTATCACGCAGCACACTTGCCTTTGCAATTACGTTGTCAAGGATTTCATTTGATTCCAGAATATATTTTGGGCAGAGTTCACGATCAACGACGTCGATATCAAGCTCTATTGTTTCAAAAGGGGTCGCGTAGTCCCAATCTGGAAGCTCGGTAGCATCTGGCACATCGCGTGACAAGTTTTCAACATGTGTCGTATCCTGTGTTTGCATGGGAAACTCCAAGTCCGTACCAGGCGGTGCATTGATACAATCAGAAGCATAGTCGTTGAAAAGAGCGGAGAAGTGGTCCTGTATTACGGTAGTAGTACCTGAAACATGATTGCTAATAGACCGCGTGGGATTACGTTCACATTCTAGAGCGACCAGCTCAGAGTCAGACACAAAAATACTGTTGTCATCTGAACTTTCAGATAGCTCATCAACAGGATCATCACATTCTAGCTGCGCTTGCTCTTGAGAAAACGGCAAATCGGTAGAAGATAAAGAGTCAAAGTTGGCCGGGTTTTGCATTGGGGATATCGGTCTGTTCTGTTCAGCACGGCGAGGCCACGCTCCAATGTGACGTGAAACATAATGGGGTGGTACAGGAGAAAGGGAAGCACTACGTTGGGGCGAAGTGCAGACACGTTGTTCTGCAACTTTGGCATGGATCGGCGACAGGGGACCGGGCGAGAGGGGATCTTCGCTGAAGAGATCGGCATCGATGCTATCATCTACTGACAACACTACGTTCCGCTCGCTCATTTCGTATTGTACACGACAATGTGGACAACAGTAGTACTGAGGCCTCGGTGAACAGTAAGGCAGGGTGTTACCTGGAGGATCATGAAATGTTTAAGGGAGAGAGTGGTGCGGATGCCTTGTTAAAGAAGGTGGGTGAGCTGTGGTGTGCGTGAGAGAGAGTGGGAGAGAGTGGGAGAGAGTGGGAGAGAGCGGAGAGAGCGGGAGAGAGCGAGAGAGAGCGAGAGAGAGTGGGAGAGAGTGGGAGAACTGGGAGAACTGGGAGAACTGGGAGAACTGGGAGAACTGGGAGAAGTTTGGGTGACAAATGGGAGACTCTCCCTGGTGGCTTGGGAGAACTTCTCTCAAATGTTCTCCCGGCGCCGGGAGAACATCAAAATTCTCCCAAATTCTCCCAAATTTTCACTCACGCTGGGAGAAGAATTTTCTTCTCCCAGGGTGCACAGGGCTAGACGGGCATTTTCCGCTACCATTCTCACGACAACACACGTGTGCACGTTGTTGATCGGGCGGTATGATATCTGCCCTAGAACACGGCGCATTTTCAAGTTCTACACGTGTAGTTGGGATTCATCACTAGGCTTGTTTTTGAGGGCTGAAAGCAAAGGCCAACCTCCGACGACGCCTCGTACGCGGAGCTGCGGTCACGACGGGACCATTCGGCCCGAACGGAATTAGTGCCCCGGTGAGCGCCCTTGCATCTACAACGACCCCTTCGTGCTCCTCGAAAACGTCCTCATCAGCTTGCAGTTTGCTTTTCTTCTCCCTCCAAACAAGTCGGGGTTTCAGGTGCCGCAGTACCAGCACGCGAAGAATCAGGTTCTAAGAACACATCAAAGCACCAAAAAACTAACCAACGAATCACCCAGCATTGGGATTCTACTTGCTATACCATCAGGCGGTCGCTTTGCAAGCGCCCGCACGCACCATGCAAGCAGCCCATCGCCTGCGCGCGCTACCGCGCTTAGCCCACCGTCTCGTCCCTTCGACTCGCCTCCGCACCCCACCGATCACCCTGACGCAACATCGACTGCTCGCCACCTCATCTAGCGATGACTCGCCCTCTGACAAGCCGCAAACTCCCACGAACAGGATCCTCTCCCGACTGCTTGCTGGCCGGGATGGACATCAAAATCCGATCCTCGCTGCACTGGGCTTCTACTCCCCGGAGAGTCGCGCAATTGGAGCGGGAAATGCTCTGTATAAGCAAGCCTTGAAACGCGCAGATGAGGCTGCGGCTGCGGAGACCCACAATCTGAAGGACTTTGCGCCGAGGTTTGAAATGCTCTCTGTTCACATATATCTCACGTTGAGAAGGCTCCGTGCGGAGAAGGGCAGTCCCTTCGAGGCTGAGGTTAAAACCGTTATGCAGTGCTTGTTTGATGTGTTTTGGACTGACGTCAGGACAAGGATGATCATGCAGGAGCATGGTATGAATTTGATTCAGAGCGGCAAGTGGATCAAGCATTGTGAGCAGTGCTTTTTTGGTATGGCAATGGCTTTTGATGAGGGCTGGGGTAATGATCAAAAGATGACGGAGGCCATTGAGACGAACATTACTTGCTTGAATAGAGATGCCAGCAGAATTAAACACTTTCGCAAGTATATGATCCGAGAACGGGCAAAGCTGGACAAGACCACTGTGGAGCAAATTTGGAAAGGTCTCTGTTGGAATGGCAACTACCCCTCTGTAAGAACCCTATGACCAAACAAGTAACGCACTAATACGGAGCACCAATCTGTAACTAACTAAACTTACGACTGGCGATTGCTACCGGTCACTTTCCCAAGGCGCTAGCACTCCCGACGGCAATTTGACTGATCGCTCGCTTTTCACTGGATACCAAACAGATTGTCTCTACTCAACAAGTCGTAGCTGCAGCGTGTGCACAATCTCCTTCGCTTCCGATGCAAACTGGAAGAAGCGGGGTAGGTCATACCGCCCAAGGGCTTTGTCAGACTTGTTTTCGACGGGCTGTTCATTCTTAATTTTCATCTCCTTGCCAGCTTCTTCGACATCCACATCTCGCATGCCGAGTTGTGCTTCCAATTTGTCACTGACCTTAAGACCAAGAATTCGAAGAGCGCTCCGCACGGCTGATGCCGTGATGTATCTACTTCCTTTCGCTACATCTTCAAACGCAGCACGCACTTCCTTTTCGCCTGCACCCTCGCGCCCTCCAAGAACATCAGCTAGAATTATAACTGTTTGCCCTTCCTTGACAGCCTTGCGATTCTTAAGGATAGTCATCGCATTGTCGATCGTTTCCTCAGGATCGTCTTCAAAACGGCAACGAAATGGTCGGACACCGTACAAGAGATTCAGTTTGTTACGGACAACTGGTGTTGCTGTAAACGCAAAAATAGGAGCTTGAGGTCTGCACCGCGACGTTAGAGTCGCCATCAATCCCTTTTGAGTAAATACCAGAATCGCTGCTGCGTTTTGTTGGTTGGCCAAAACTGCTGCCGTTGTCGCAATATTTTCGGCTATATCTCCAACCCCTGGAGTCCACCATGTCTTGTCTTTGACCAGGGGGGGAATGTCCAAAGAAGAGTCCTCTCCGTCTATTTCGTGAAGGCGCTTCTGCATCCTGAGTAGCACAGCATTCATTGTCGACAACGCTTTGTATGGGAACTTTCCGCTAGCGGTTTCTGCTGTCAAAACTAACGCGTCCGCTCGTTGTTTGACAGCCTCCGTCATATCTGTCACCTCTGCCCGGGTTGGCGTGGGATACAAAACCATGCTCTCGAGGAAATGAGTAGAGATGAGACAAGGTTTCCCGTGCCTCCGGCACGTGTCCGCGATTTGTTGCTGCCAATACGGAACCTTTTGGAATTGGATTGCACTTCCGAGGTCTCCGCGGGCGACCATAACTGCGTCTGCTGCGGCGACAATGCTTTCCAAGTTGCGGAGGGCATTTGCAGACTCTACTTTCGCGACTACGCCGATATGGGCACCGCGCTCCCGCAGCAAACGTCTCACAGCAATGACCTGGTCAGCAGATTCAACAAACGAGAGCGCAACATACTCGACGCGCTCCTGAATAGCAAACTCCAACTGTTCTGGAGGGCATCCTAGAACTGTTCTGGCGATAGAAGTATTGAGGTCTTCTCCATTCACATCTGGGCTTATGTTGAGCGACTTTCCTCGGACGTTGATGGTTCCTCTAGAGCGCAACTCGCCAGGACTTACCACTTCGCACCCACAGTCTTTGTCATGAACATTCTTCACTAGGAGTTCAACCACACCGCCACCTTCCGCTTGACACTGCAGTAAATCGCCATCTTCAATGATATCTATGAACCCATCATTGCTGACTTCTGAAACGCCCTCTGCATACTCAGCCTCATGTCGCGTGGTAAGCGTGAATGAATCGCCGGTGTTAAGAATCGGGTTTTTTGCAAATTGCCCAAGTCGGACGTTGTCAAAACTTCCAATGTCTATCATTGTCCCGCAAACAAACGGTGTGTTGAGATTAATGTGGCGAATGTTCTCAATGACAACTTTATGCCAGTGGTAATCGCCGTGACATAAATTTAGACGAGCAATATTCATGCCACCGGCTGCAAGGCGCAATAGATTGTCATGATCACATGTGGATGGACCAATAGTTGCTATAATCTTCGTGTGGCGGGCACCAAGCTCAACAATATCCGCGTCTTCTGGGAGAGCGAGAAGACTGCTCCGAAACTGTACAGGGACAGATTCCAGAGCTTCCGCCATTTTGGATGTTGTTCCCGTTGCAGCAGTGGCGCGTGGCACAGAAATTCGGGTTCTGGATGCTACTGCAACCATCGGCATCGAGGTGTCCTTCCGGATTGTGGGAGTGTGGCCTGAATAAAAGGCCGGTCGCCTCGCAACCGGAATGCCAGTTACGAAGGCGATTTGGTTCTCCATTTTCATACTGAAACAAGAACGGCCCAGTTGCGAAGCTTTTGGAATAGGTCGAATCGATCAGAGAAAGAGGAGCTGGTCTCAGTATTGCTTGAGATGGTCTCCCAGTTGGTTCAACTCGGGTTAAACAGTTGGCGGTTGGACGGGGTGGTGATCATCTAGCTAGATTGATCACACCTGTAGGCTGCCTAAAATTATTGATTTTTAAAATATCTTGAGACGCGAGCACAACAACGGGCTTCTGAAAGGGGTTCATTGGTTGCTTCTGTGGGAAGATAGAAATTGCAGTTTACTTGGTTAGCCCTAAATCTGGGAAAAAGGGAAATTATCCGCTCAACGGGCCGGCGGGAAATCCGGATATATTAAAATCCGAGGGCGGTATCCTGACCGACCCTCGGGGGTAACTTGGTACCCTCCGACAGCGCGGCGAAAAGTCTCGAGACTCGACATCCGAAGTATCCCCATCCCCCTCGCTCTCGCGACTCCTCTCCCCGCCGCTGCGTGCGACGAGCGCGGCTACTACTAACCTCATCGTTCCCGTTCTCCCCCAGGGGGAAAGATGAGTAAATTATCAGGATTCTTCGACCCGCCTCTCTTCGCCGCCGATGGCGATCTTGAAGCCTGGCGCAAGAAGTTTGGACAGTGGCTCGACTCACTTAAAGTCGCCCACGACCAAGGCACCGATTGCACTTTTCAGACGATGTTCAAGCTCCTTGGACAAACGCTCTATGAGCGCGGCCTTCCGAAAGCTCAGAAGGCAATCTTCGATGAAGCCCAATCCAAAGGACAGCTCGACTACCTTCAGATGGATGATCCCGTGCAAGCGGCACTCTCCATCGTCGAGCTTGTCGCTGTAGACCCACCGATTGCCATGGTCACAAGGCTCATCGCACCATACCTGGAGGTCACCTCGTGTCGCCGAGACAGGAACGAGAAGCTCTCCGGCTTCGTCTCGAGGTTCCGAGGTTTGGCAGCCAAGCACTTGCTGCACGCCAACACTTCTTCTTCTTCGCAGATAGGTGAAGTTTTGGCGATTAATCTCCTCAATAACGCAAACATAGAGGAGGGAACGTTGACCAATGTCAAGCTCCAACTAATTTCGCATGCAGAAGCCCGAAACAAGGAGGAGTCGGCAGTCGTCGAAACCGAAAAGGTATCCAAGTGCATCTCGAGGAAGTCTTCAAGATATCCGAGAAGCTGAAGAAGGTTGACGTTCCACTCCGCGAGTCAGAGTCCACGGCCGATGATTATAAGAAGTCTCTGTCCGACTTCAGATCGCAAACAATCAGCTTCATCCGCTCCTTGGACATTGCAGTCCAAGACCTAAAGGGGACTGCAGAGAATAATGCTGCGAAGACGTCAGTTGCTGACTCTTTCCTGCCGCGGCACACTTCTTGCAGGCTCAACCTTGACGACGCGGTGATCGTGCTGAGGAATCTGACCCAGACAACGTCAATGGATGCTCCCCAGTTCTCCATGAAGGACGTCCAAGCCTTGGTTGACCGCAAGGTCAAGTCTCTCATTGGCACCCATGGCAAGCATGGCCCTGCAAGCATCTTCGACAGACTCTCTGAAGTCGGCTCACGTCACGGGCAGAAAAAGGACACTCGAATGGGTCCACCCTCTAGCCGTGGTAACGCATCTCGAGGCAGTCGCAAGAGGCAGCTCTCTTCGGATCGCGAGACCCAGTCCATTTGCTATGACTGCGGAGAGCGTGATCACTACAGAGGGGCAGCAGAATGCAAGGAACCTAGCGCCTTCACCAAGAAAAAGAGGACGCGCCGAGACCCCAGTGACGGCGGCTCCGGGGCACATCCCTCATTTTCTCGGAGAGGCTCCGGCGGCTCGTCAAACAGGCAAGCCTAGTCAGCCATCCCGGAGCCTCCTCGGATATCAATCCGAGAATCCCGGATCCAAATCCCATTATTGATCCGGGATGTCCCAGAAGTGTTGGAAGCATTTCTTGCGCCGCAGCCCTCTGCACTGCCATGAACATTCCGTTCAAACTTCGAAGGCTAGACTGTGAACCGTTCTTGCACGGATATGGCAAGAATTGTAGCGACGCCGAGGTCACTATTGGAGTTTGGGACCTTCTCGTGACCGATATGAGTGGAACGGAAGTCAAAATTCCGTTCTACGTTACGAAAGGAGATGGATTCCTTCTTCTGGGTACCGAGATCCTTCACCATTCGTACCAGCTTGGACCGGAGAACCTTTTGGTAATTCCAAAAGGAGTGAGAAACCTCTCGTCAAAACGTCTCACGTTCAAGACATACACCGAACCAACAATGTCGAGTCACCCCGATGTGGTTCGCACATTTCTTCTCGTCGTTCCGTCCAAAACATCCTCCCTTGTGACGTTCTTCTCCACGGAAGTCTCATATGCGTCCACTATCCCGCCGGCAGAAACCATGAAGGCAAGGTTTCGATATTTCAGAATCGCCGGTCGCTTCGCCAACAAGCTTCATGGATATTCACTCATTGCCCTTCAAGACATGGAGACGCTGTGACGTCGATGAGTAGTGATGAATCCTGTGCTAAAACAAGCACTTCAGAGAGCCATCGAGAATGCACTAGCTGCAAAGAAACAGGCCGCCCACTCCAATCGCGGAAGATATCCTTTGGGAAAATACTCGCCTCGTTCAACAACCATGTCCAACTCGACTTCTTCTTCTGTGCGGAGTTCGAGAACGCCCCCATCTTACATATGGTGGATGTCTATACGGGTTATTCAGTAGCATCCCTGATGCGGACCCGTGAGATGGACGAAGCAGCTCGGCAATTGGAAGTCGCATGGGTAAACGTTCACGGTGCACCGTCAATCATATCGGGAGACATCGAGTTCTTCAACTCCCGTTTTGCCGAAGCTCTAAGGTACTTCTCAATACGTTTTGAACCCCGTCCAGCCCGACGTCATAACAAACTCGGCGTCGTGGAGCGGAAGAATGCGGTTGTCCGTGTGCTTATCCAACATCTTCTAAAGGACACTCCTCGGCGTGCACTGTTGACTCAGTTGAAAGGAAAGACGTGTTCTCACGTGCCGTGTATCTGAGCAACATCTTATATGGAAGCAAGTCGCTGAGCAGCTTCGAGATGACTCGGGGTTACACTCCCTCGCTTGTTGGTCTCCCTCAAGCAAAGCTGTCCGCTGATCTCATCACTGCGCATAACGAGCAAGTGGCACGAAGAGCTTTGAGGCTCCTCGACAAGTCGCGATGTCCACAAATGCTTCAAGCCGCCCACTTATCACGTGATGACCCGATGTATTACTTCAAGAGAGGCCCAAAGTATGGCTCGTGGGAACACGCGTACGTGCGGAACCCACAGACCCACTTCGTCGTCCTTTCCAGGCGTCAGGATCACATTGGTAAGCCCATAAGAGCGGCATATGAGGACGTTCGGAAAGCTCCGTCCTCCCCTCTACCTGCTGAGTTGGATGACATGGACTTCGTATTCCCACGGTCGTACTCCGTCTTTGAAGAAGGTATGGTCCCTCTAACATCGGCACCCCCTCGGCTCTTCTCGGAGTTGGAAGAGATGCCGAATGTGAGTGACAAGTCGCCTCCAAGCAGACCAGAAGGGTCTGCAGGGCAGCAGGAGGCGGCGAATGTAGACAGCCTTCCTGACTTGGAGCCCCCCGGCGATCTGACGGACATCTCTGAGTTCAGGACCGAAGAGACTCTGTGGGCTTCCCACCCCATATCAAAGAGCTTATTAGCATCCTCAAAGCCGAAGAGGTTGAACAACCCTTTGCTGGATGTCAACACAAGGTCCATCGATCGCTGCAAATTTCTTGGTTGGAACACGGTATCCAGTCTCAACTTCGAGTAAAAATCTCGATTTGAACTCAACTCACGAGCCCCCACAGCCGGGAAAAGACATCGGAACCACAGACGGTGTAGCTCCGTCGAGGCTGCCTTTTCATCTTGCATCGTCGAAGCAAAAGGTCCTTCAAAAAAATCAGGAAGTGGTTGGGAACAAGCCCACATCTGAATTCAAACTCCAATTTGCTCCGCGATGGATCGCTGATCAGGCCATAGCCAAGGAAAAAGAAAACTACGCACAAGCCGAGGCATACAAGGAAGTTCCGTATGGGGATCTCCCACGACATGCCAATGTGATTCTTCCCACAACTTCTTCCAAGTCAAGACCGACGGAGAAGAAGGAAAGCTGAAGCTAAAGTGTCGTCTAGTCCCACACGGGAACCGGGATCGAGACAAAGAATTTGTCCGGAAATACTCGGCGACAGCGCAGTTCCCAATAATTCGCATCGTTCTCTCTGTCGCGGCAATAATGTGCTTCTCAGTTGCCTCCATTGACATCAAAGGAGCATACTTGCAAGCTGGCCACTTTTCCTGGGACACATACGTCTGACCCCCGAAAGGTTGGGTATCTTCTGCTCGAACAGTCTGGAAGATACTCAAGCCGGCCTATGGCATTGTAGAATCCGGACGCCTATGGCAACTCGTCGCCGAGGAATGGATGTCCACGCAAGGGTTCGTACAAGTCCCAGGCCTTCTTCAGCTCTTCGCCAAATACAATGCCGAGGGATCGATAAACATACTGGTCGCAAAGGTTGTCGATGACTTCGTCGTGGTTGGCGTTCTTCCAAACATCCATCAATTTCACGAAGCTATCTCTCGCCGGTTCATTGTCGGACGCTACGTCGTGAACAAGGACTTGATCTTCAATGGTCTTCATATCCACCAGGAGCCTTCCGGCTCTTTAAGCATTAATATGCAAGAGTACGTGGACAAAATTCTTCCGATCGACGTCTCAAAGGAAAGAAGAAAACGACACCAAGACAAGTGCACCGCTCCAGAGTTGACTTCATACCAAGCTCTCGCTGGAAGTCTCCATTTCCTCGGACATGGCATTCTCCGGCAAGCGGCTTTCGCAGCTAGCTACCTTCAGCAAGCCATTGGACGCTTGAAGGTGGCCGATCTTATAAACGGGAACAAGTTGCTTGTGGAGATCAAAGCGCTTTCCCCGACGCTCCTGTT